GAAATAAACATTTGAAATATATGAGTTTGTATGTAATGTATGAATATAATATACAAGTTTCACTTTTTAAATGGAATTACTGAAATAAATCTACTTTTTCATGATATTCTAATTTTATGACCAGCACCTGTATATCGGTGTATCAATATTTTCCTACACGTACTGGTAAAAATCTCAGAGTTGGAAAACCTGATCCCATTTGTTGGTAACGTATCTGTGGGTTGGTCAGCAGAGTTGATGTGGATTGCACCCATGGGGAACCTCTTCAAAAATCTTGGTCATGCACTGCAGTTGCTACTCTACAACTTCCTGTTTCCACTGATGTCACATTACAGGCCAAAACAACAAAMACAAATAAACAAATAACAACGGGAAGTGACATTATAAATAAAGCATTTTAATAGAAAGACCCTTGCGCTGGGTACAAGTATGAGTACTTGTCAAACTGCTGGTATCTGTACCATCAGTATAAACACCACTATTAAAAGTTAAACTGTGACAAAAACACTGAGCGGAGTATAAATGTTAAAGTGAACAGATTTCTTCTGTGAACAAGTACTAATTTATAATCTGGTGKTTTTTGTGTCTCAGCTGAGCCCGAGGTCCGACAGTCCTCCAGCCATCCCTCCTCGACTGCCTCCGCCTAGGAACCTGCCTCGGCCTCCGGTCTACAACGGCCCTCCCTTTGATGGGCCCCTGCCCAGCCCACCGCCACCCCCACCCCGAGACCCTCTTCCGGACACGCCTCCCCCCGTGCCCCAACGGCCCCCGGAGATCTTCATCAACTACCCCCAGCCTTCGCCTGTGGGCCGATACCACTGGGAATTCGGCAGCTCCCCGAGCTCCCCCAACACCCCGCCCAGCACGCCGTCCCCTCGGGTCCCGAGGCGGGGCTGCCCGCTCAGCGCCAGCCAGAACAGCCTGTGCCCCGTTCCCATCACCGCTCCCCCCGTGCCCCCGCGCCACATCTCCAACCTGCAGCTCCCCAAACTCCCACCAAAGACGTATAAAAGGGAGGCGCTCCAGCCGCCGCTACAAGGCCTCTCATTGGTGGAGAACGCCAACAGCAGCCAGTGAGTCCACTTAGTTTTCCTGCTCGTTGAACTGCTTCACAGCTGCTGAGCTGAGAAAACMGAAACTCTTCTCCACACACTCCTCACCTTACAGCTGAGCGACACGAGCAGAACTCTGAAACAAAACGCTGAGGAGGAAGTTTGTTTGTTCTTTAAACAGGAAAGTTGCAACGTCCAGATTAAAGATGAAATGTTTCAAAGTCTGAATCTTATGTTCAGAACATATGCTGTGGTTCATTACTACAGTTTTCCTGGCTCTCTCTGCACTTGTTCCAACTCACTGTAAAAGTCTTAAACGCAAAACTTTTCTCTAAACATCCGAAGTTTATAAAAAAATAAAGCTGTCAGTAAAACGAATCCTGCAACTTTGACCAGCAAGAGCTGTGAAAGTCTTTAGAAATCAGCGCTCAGTGAGACTTACTGTGAAGAATTGAAACAACCACACACATCTGAAATGCAGCAGAGTTCTTGGTAATACATCTAGAAAAACTCAAATATCACTTTTTTACAAACTCATTCACACTTTAATCTTGACATTTCAACTTTTACCTACAAACTAATAAAACAGTACTTCCCCCGCAGTCAGTTTTTGTGTTTCTGAGTGGCCCTAATACTGTGTTGTGTCTTAGCCCCGCCCACTGTGCCTGTCAGGGGATCAGTAGCTCTGTCTCCATCAGAAACCCTCTGTGCCAACAACAAACCCACACCAGTGTGCCAGCTAAACAACCAGGAGGATCTGAGGTGGGTCGCCTGCTTCTGACCCCCGACTCACCTGACCCCCCCGGCTCATCCCTCCATCAGGAGGAGGGGCTTAGACTCTGTAGCCTCAGCTTCGCTTTATTATCTTTTGTATGTTTTGTGATCGGTTGTTTTTCAAAGGAGGCAGGGGGGATTTGATATTTGGGTTCCTGCTGCAGCAGACGCATTTTTGACGTCTGTCCTCAGCGATCAGCTGACCCGTGGTCTCTTCAGAGGTGGGTTTCTAGTTTTTCCCTCCTGATTGAAGACAGCCTTGTTTCACACAGGAAGGGATGAGACGACTCGCCCACTTTCTATGTCAGCTCTACACTGTGACTGTAAAGTAGCAAATCAAACTGTATGACTGTTTTTTTTTTTTGGGAGGGGGGGGTTGTTTTGTATTTCAGACACAAAATGTTGCCTTTGAAAACCCCACTGTGGTGACCTCCAACCCTCTCCAGTCCTGATGGAACCACACTCCGTTTGCACAAAATTTGGGCAAAGTCAGCAGGTTTTAATGGATTGTTATAAAAGCTGCATCTGCCACAATCTGAAACAGCACCAGGATGAAGAGTAGGACTGTCTGATCCCCTCCCCCACGTTTAGCCAACTGTTTTTCAAACTTTGCACTGGAAGCCCCCCACCAAAGCTGGGTCGACCACCCCTCCCCCACCGTCGGCTCTGAAAACTCACGAGAAGAGGAACTCTTTAACCTTGTTTCTTCCTCTTTGTCCTGTTAGAAGCTTTTTGTTTKTTTGTTTTTKTKTTTGTTTTCACGTTGAACAGACTGAAATAATCCATGCATCAYGCTCAGATGTGCCTTTTTAGTTTGTTTTCTACTTTACAGAAATAAGCAAATGGTGTCTAAAACGCTTAAAAATGAAGTTGCCTATGTAATGTTTAGAACAAAGCTATACACTATGAAACTGTACATGTTTGTGCATAATGTGTGTGTGTGTATATATCATGTATACACTAACTAACTAAATAATTTGTACAGTGATCCCACCCCCGTCTTATTGTAGCCTCATCTCTTCAGTCAAATATTGCCTAATAATCCAGTGCTGCTGCCGTCAGCTACACATCTGTCAAACTTGATCAAACTAAGAAAAGAAAGCAGGTTGCTGTTACTAATTTACAGACAATCTTTGATTCAACTACTGGGAGGATGTCGACTCAAACTACTGGTTTTAAAGACGTGCCGAGCACCTAGTTCTTCACTCTGAACGTCCCACTGGCTGCCTTTTACCTGCTCCTCAAACTCGTTAAAAACAGGTCAACATAGTGTTAAAGCTGCGAAATAATATACAAGCCTGGGTTTTAAACAAGTTGGGATGTTTTGTAAAATGTAAAAAAAACGACAACAAACAGAATGCATTTTCTGAAACATGTTTTTAGAAACATGAGGTCATTTTGAATTTGATGCAGCACATCTCCAAAAGGTTGTTCCAGATAAATGTTTCCCTTTTTTTATTTTTATTTTTACCAACAGTCGGTAAACTTCTAGCTGCCCATACCAGAGACACTAATGCACCCYCATACCATCAGAGAGGCAGGCTTTTTGAACTGTGTGCAGATAACAGGCTGGACGATCTTTCTCCTCTTCGGTAACGAGGACCTGGTGGTTCTGATCCATCTGAGCCCAGAACAGTTTTCCACTTTGTCTCAGTTTATTTTAAATGATTTTGGTTCAGAGACAACAGAGTTTCTGGGTGGTGTTCATATGGCCTCTGCTCTGTGTGATAGAGCTTTAAGCAGCATCAGTGAACTGTTTCCTGATGCATCTCAGTAATCCAGGTAGAAAAAATTTAAAAAAATCAGTAGGTCCTCTGGATGGTTCTTCTTTAGTGAAATGTTTCGTCTCTCCTCCAAGAGACTTCTTCAGTCTGATGAGTTTCAGGTGAACTCAGCCTTATAAGCTCCGCCTCCACCTGGACAAACAGGTTAGTCACATGTAAAAGAGGACCATCAGACTAACAATAGACTTGATTAGTTCTATTGTTCATAGAGGGTCATGTTCCCATCATCTGACCCGTGTCGTGTTATGTTTACTGTATGTAGTGAATGTAAGTGGGAGTTCAACATCCCCTTGTTTTTGTCCCTCTTTGTTTTGGTATCATTGGCAAAAACAGAGTAATATAGTGTATGCTGGAGGACTGTGATCAGTTAAACCTTGGGGAAACAAAACAGCCACTGTTCGAAAGAATGAGCCAGCACAGACGAGCTACTTCATCAGGTCAGGAC